CTCTCTCTCTCTCTCTCTCTCTCTCTCTCTCTCTCTCTCTCTCTCTCTCCCCCTCTTTCTCCATAAAAGCAAAACACACTTGCAATAATGCCTTAAGCGGTCACACCCACGGTCAAGTAAAAGCATCCAGCCATTTTTCAGTGTATCACCACAAAGGTGGTAAGTGACGTGGTGTCCTAACAAGCACCTCTTACTGAGCTGCATTGACAAGTGCACATTAATCTCTCTAAATCTAAACAAAATATGGAGCACAGAAAGAGAATGAAGAACATGATGTAATCACAAGAGTAGCAATGAAAAAGAACTGCCTGCTACAATAGAAATGTATGAGCATAAAATGAAAAAGTAGATTGTTGTGTGTCATACTATCCTACCACACACTACACAATCCCAGAACAAAAAACTGATGGAAGGAAAATAAATAAAGAGGTCTTAGGAAAGGGAAACCCTCCGAATTAAAAACCCAAATCCATAATGCTGCTATGGAAATCCTTTCCAGGTGTTCTTTTAGGAAGGGCTGGCTGGTTCCATGTCTGTGCAGATGCTATGATGAAGAGAGGAAGACTAGCAGCTTATTCTGTTCCTGAGAATATAAAAAGCACCCTAAGCAACATAGAGAACAAGAAATAAAAAATTATGATGTACTCTACTGAGGAACTTGAGATCTAGTTAATAACACAACAAACATATAACAAACACTCATACAGTCACACTGTTTGTTATTTAAAAATATAGCAGCTGGCTGGGAGCAGAAGCTTATGTCTATGATCCCAGTGCTTTGTGAGGCCGCAGCGATTAGATTGCTTGAGCCCAGGAATTTGAGACTAGCCTGGGAAACGTAGCAAGACTCTGTCTCTACAAAAATTGAAAATAATTAGGTGTGGCAGCACATGCCTGTAGTCCTAGCTACTCAGGAGGCTAAGGCAGTCATTTGAGCCCAGGAGTTTGAGCTTACAGTGAACTATGATCCCACAACTGCACTCCACAACTTGTGCACAACTGCATTTCACAGCTTGAGTAACAGAGACCCTGTCTCAAAAACAGCTACAACAAAAATACACAGCAACAACAGGAAGGGGAAATCAAAGAGAAGGACTATAATTTCTTAACTAAAGTACACAAATACTGACAAAGATTTTTAAACCTTTGAAAAATGCCCAGAATCTGGCTCAATTATATTTCTACAAAAATGAGCACAAATGAGATCTGATATTCTAGAGACTAAAGTTAAATAAGGGCACAACTGGGGCTTGACCTTGGTGAAACCAAGCTGTTTCATGTTTATCGGTCTTGGTTTAATTTTACCATTTAACTCTACATATGTACCAATATTAAAAATTCAATTCACTACATTTGAAAATGTTTACTGTTATATGCTACTTAAAATGAAACATTTTATCAAAAACACAGGCATTTAAAGCATTCTTAAATAAGCAGTTGATTCCTTTTTTTAATCTTCAGAACAGTGCAGAATAATATGGGCACCTTTTATGCAAGTACATGTAGTATCCTATGGGACCAATGAAGAGAAGTGTACTCTATGTACAGGAAACGTCAGGAAAGGCTTCTCTAAAGAGGTCATGGATGAATGGACTCTTGGGGGCTGAACATGACTTTATCAGGAGAACATGACAGAAGCCCATTCTGGATAAAGGGAGCAAGTGGCAAGATTCAAACTGACTTACCAAAGTATAGAATTAGGTAAAGAAACCAGTAAGAGTCTTCCAGAGAAAGAGAACAGGACCAAAGGTAGGGACCTCCAAACATAATGGGACCAGAAAGCTGAAAAGGTAAACTGGGGCTAAAGAAGAAAAGGATTTATATACCATATAATCTCAAGATTTTTAATTTTTGTATCTTCTTTTTTTTTTTTTTTTTTTTTGTAGCAACGGGGTCTTGCTTTGCTGCGCAGCTTGGTTTCAAACTCCTGGCTTCAGGTGATTCTTTCACCTCTGCCTCTCAGAGTGCTAGGAATTAGGCATGAGCCACTGAATTTGGCCTCAAAACCTTTAAAAATCACACAGAGCATTGGGGGAAAAAATAAGTTACATTTTTAACATATATAATGTATTTAAAAATTAATACATGCGTTACTAGCAAAATATTTTGTATTCATTATGAAATAAATACAAAATCCCAAGAAACTTAAAAGGATAAGATAATAGTATTTCTTCCCACGTCCAGGAGATTGTTTTGGGCTAAACAAACGGCTTTGCTAACTATTACCAGACAGGCCTACAAGTGATTAATCCCAAAATCAGATTCATCATTTCTTGGCAGACATTCTCCATCTCATTTGATTGGCTTCTCGATACTCATTGTATACAATAAAGCGACTCATCAATGAATTTCACACACATTTTTTAATTACTTTTATCTTTTAAGATTGGACAAAGGAATTACCTTGTTTAAAGTGAGTGATTCTGAGGGTAAATTTTAGTTGTCTGATTGTTGTTTGTTCTAACTTCAAGCTAACTTGATTTAACTTTTCTTACCTTTATTCTCCCTTTGTTCTGATTCTTTAGCTTACTTGTTTACTTTTATTTTAATATATTTACACATTTTGGTAAGCACTTTTTACATCCAGGTATGGAATAAATAAGAGCGTTTTGTAAGCAAGAGAAACAAAGATTTTTTGAATAGTAACAGTAACAACAGCAATAGGATGCTACTATCATTACTGAATATTTTTCAGAGCACCAGACACTAGGCAGAGCCCTTTTTATATATTCTCTCACTTAATCCTTTTTTAAAACTATACATTATCTATCAACACAGACAAACAAAGGTCATACAACTTGCCCCATGTTACACAGGAGGCTAAGCAAGCTGACAGAACAGGCACTTTCATTCTCTATGGCAGGCAATATACTCTAAGGTTACAATTATAATGGTTGACATTTTCTAGGAACATCCATTCTGATGAGAGAGATATTTAAATAAACAATGACACTGCAATATGGTTTAATTATAATTATACTCAACATAATGAGTGCTTACAGGCACATAAACAAGATATTACGGAAGTGCAGATATGTACCTAACCCTTCCCAGGAAAAAAATCAGAGTCCTCCATGACATGATGTGAAATTAAGTCCTATGGCTTTTCCTAAGAGGACAAAGAATAAAAGTACATTTTAAGTAAAAGGAACAGTATATACAAGAGATGTACATAAACACATGGTTTCTTCAAGGGTCGGCTAATTTGTTCCGTATGGTCAAAAGGTAGGACATACATAGAAAACAGGTAATATATAAAGTTGGAAAAGTGAACAAAGTCCAGATTTGTGTTGTCCAACTAGGAATATGTGGTTATTTACCTGTAAATTGTGCTCAACGGCTCAATACTATGACTAGCTAGCTGCTATCAATTTCGAAGGCACAGATATAAAACATTTCCATCATAACAGAAAATTATATTAAACAGGACTGATCTAGACTATGAAGGTCCTTATATGCTAAATCACTGGAATTTTTCTGATAACTGG